GTTTTGTTTTGTGTTTTTGTAAGTCTGTTCTTTTTTGTGGTTTGTAAAAAAAAAATTAATAAAAAGACCTTGATCAAACACTAATCAGTTGTAGATGCATATCTAATGACAACTTTGGGTAAGTTTTATTAAAATCCAACCACTGATTCATTAGATATTTTGCCAACAGAAATGAACAAAAACAGAGCCTATTTTCACCTTTCAGCAGTGGCAATAATGAAACATGAGTCAAGACCTGTTTTACAGAACCATATTTGTGCTCTCAAGTTTATGGTGTGTGGCATTTAATGTCCAACCTTTATCTCTAATATCACYGAGTTCTACAAAACGCCCAAAATTCCTGTGATGCTTTAAGGTTTATTTAAATGTTTTCCAATAAAACCTTCCTTACATTGGTGATGTCTATGAAAGCAGTCCTCTTCCTGGGAGCTCCACGAGGAGGAGAGGAGGACCTCTTCACCTGGGAGCCTTCCTCCTGAGASACAAAAACAGCACATCAGTCACACAACATGTGTCCACGTGCAAAAAGCAACACTAACTCAAACCTACTTTGAAGAAAAAGCATTTCATGTGTAAACTAAATGCTGCATTCACTGCCTTGTTTGTAAAAGCGAGTATCACGATTTGTTTTACCTGGTTCTCCGTCGCCACTGCAGTCAGGCTGGGTAACCTGCTCCCAGCAGTGGCTGAGAATTTCCTTCCCCTCGTCAAAGGCATTTCACTTCGTCTCTCCGCTCGCTGCTCCTTGATGCATGTAAAGTAAAACACGGAAATGGCGCGTCCATATTAAAAGCTGAATCGTTTTACCTTTAACAGCTTACCCTGAACGTAGCACGGGCACAGTTCCTTCAAATGATCAAGCTGATCATAAGGTAAATAATTGTTTTTTAACGCTTTATTTGAATGCATTGTCTTACCTTATCGTAGTTTTCCCCTGCGTGGTTTAGTTTAAACGGGTAAAGCGAGGTTTTGTGTAGTTTGTGGYTGAAGTTTTCCGACCTGTTCGGTAGTCGCAAACAAAAGTTCTTCAGCAGAAAATCCAAAGCTCCTGCGCCTCGCTATTATTGGCTAGAATTTGAGTGAAGGGAGCCAATCAGGAAGCTGCAGAGAATGCTGTTTCAATGAAGCGCTTGGTTTGTGTAACGGATTCGTCCGGTGTGCCGACATGAGGGGAGTGAGAAATATTTTAATGAATTAATAGCGTTCAATAACCAAAATGAGATTTACTTACGTTTCTTGTGCATGTTTTTCAAGATTATAGAAAAAACGTTTATTATTTAGCCAAGCAAATTGAATACACATGAAAAGCTATCACCGCCCATCCTGATCTTGATAAAACACCGAGCTAACGCTGAAGGAGGAGGAGCCGTGGAGATTTTCAAACCTCCTGGCGTCCAATAGAAATGTGAGCGTTGATGCATTTGTTGACGTTTATATTCACACACATAGATATAATAAAAAAAGGGCTTTTTTTTATTATACACATATTACTAAGCAGCCTGTGGAGAAGTCACGAGGAAAATGCTCCGGTATAATWTGTCATAACAAAATATGGTAAACAAATAAATAAAGTGCAAGTATTTTTTTCACTTTTTGTCTATCTAGCTATCTATATCTAATGATGCATCTCTTTTAAAAAATTTTTTTTAGATTGTAAAACTGAATTAAAATGATATTCTGGCCACTGAAGCAGAGCTCTGTGGAAAATCAAAAACGTTATTATCTTACCTGTTGTAGATAGGTTTTTTATTATCTTCAGTTATTGAGTTTAGGTCTAACAGGACTGAAAATCTAGCCATTAATTTTTTGTTTGGTTTATTTCAAGCATACAGTGGAAGTACACATAACAACTAATTTGACCACGTGACCATGTGATAAGCTAATGCCATATGTCAAGCTGTGCGAATTGTTCGCAAATTACACAAATTTTCCCCCATTATATCAATGAATAGGGCAATCTCATAAGATTTAAAAATCACCTTCTAATTTATTTTACATCACATATCCTGTAGAACATAAAATACACTTTTCCAGAAACACGTAGTAATAAGCTCCCCAATCTACGTGCATTGTAAATTGAAGATTTTTTATTTTGGATTGAATTTATTTAAGAAAATGAGGCAGAAATCATAAGATTATTTTCTTCTTCTGCTATCTAATTAGATTTTTTGTATATTGAATTTATGTTGTTTTGTTTTAAATGAATRAACTTCATAATAAAAAACTCCTTACCCTGCTCCTGTGAGCTATTATCTCCACCTCCGTGCATCTGTCTGTCCCTGCCGACAAATCTGCTTTCAAACAATGAGTGAATAATACAGATTTTTAATAATAATTTACATATTTTGGAGGGTCAAGATAGATTGTTAAAATAAACTATCTTTTCTTGATAAAATATTAACTGCTCATAACCTTTTCCACAGAACCTTTCTTTAAATGGTTGGAATACCAACACTAACACCAGTTTTGTTTGTGTTTACTGGTGATCCTCCCACGAACGATAAGCAACCACCTGAATGTYCTCATTGTGCTGCACATTGCGTTAAATAGGAAATCATGGGGAAATCAGTTCAGTGCATCACATGGYCAGGTTTGACTGGTCTGGCACAGTTAAACTGGTTTCCATTATGCAATCACACAAGGCTGCAATGACACTAAAAATGAATTGAAATCCWCCCCGATGAGCAATAATCTCACTGACATGAAGATGAGTGTTTCCTGCAGCGTGAGTGGGAAGAGAATGGCTGGCCTATTGGGACTCACAACCCAAAGTTAGTGCAGCAATAGTTTGGGTAATAGATGGTCATAAAGTAGTGGATGACATACCACTCAGAGGGCACGTTCACGATGGACAGAGAGGGAAGCTACCAAACTGCCACTGGCTTATGGTCTGATTCTTGTCTGAATAACAAAACCTGAAGCCAAGTGGTTCTGAATTTTGTTTAATGAATCTTAACCTTCCTTAGACCTGGGGACAAAAGTTAACCAAGTAGGCTACACCTTCTAACAGCATTATTTTCTCACTAAATTGGCAAACATTCATTAGTTTTTTGATTTTCTAAAGTGAGGCTGTGTGGCAARGTAATGAACACTTAATATCTTACCTGTTGTAGATAGCTCTTTGACAACCTCAGTTTGGAAAAAAAAGAGTGAAGTAGTTACAGACGAGTCCAAGTGGAGAACAAATCAACAAATTTTAATGAAATTTTCAGAAAGAATTAATTGGTTGTACACCTAAAACTGTCTAATTGTTGGAATTTACCCAATTCAAGATGGCTACTGCTGCTAACTGAACTTAGCCAGCACAAAAAATAGAATGACTCGGTCAATTTTACACATATTGAGCTACAATTTGGAGTGGTAGTGTCATTCACAACACTTACATTAACTATTTTAAGAAACATTTTAAGACATTTTTATTCAGATAGGTTTTTAATTATTAAGTTTTGTTTTTTGTTTTTCAAAAATTTCTTGATTATATTTATTCTCTATTTTGATTGTTTTTAATTGTTAAGCATTTGCAATGCTCGTGTCTGTGAAAGTTAATATATAAATAAAGTTTACTTACTCTTGTTTAAAACTTTGTCCAATTAGTATTGGAGTTAAATCTGTCAATATTAGCAAAATATCTCCCTAACCACTGGAAAAAAATTAATGAAACGCAAAAAGTAATCATGGATAGTACATTTACTTAAGATGACCACCTCAACTGATGGACATTGTAAACCAAACATGCCTCTATCTCAGTTAGTTTACATATATTGAGCTCAAATTTGATTTGGTAGTAACTGAGAGTCAGCTCCATCACACTCTCTAAGCAGTAACAGATTATGTGATATTTGTTTAAAATTTTGGCAATGACTGTTTTTATTTAACTCTCTTTGTCTGTCTACATCTCACAGACAACATTTTTTTTTCAACTGGTGGCCCATGGGCCACTTCTGGCTCGCAGTTGACTTCAGTCTGGCCCAGCCAATTGAGTTCATTAATATTTTTCTTTATTTAGACTTGAATGACAATATTAGATGTTATAGAATAACTATGACAAGGATATGCAATTCAGTCTGCCTGCCAATGACTTCGTTTAAAGGCACAGTGTGTAGGATTTGTTGTTTTTAGCGACATTTAGTGGTTGAGTGGTTGAATCATCTTCCCTGGTCCTCCCCCCACCCCCACCCCACTTCCAAACGCAAAGCAGTTGCTACGGTGTCTCTCAGGTGTCAAAAACCTTTGATAATTCCAACCGCGATGTCTACCAGCAGCTTCAGGGCTAGTGATGTTTCAAGTGGTAAGATTATGAGCTTTAATAAGTAAAATTATCCCAGCTACTATGACAGAAAACAAATATTACATTTATAGTATTACAACT